TGTGTGTGTGTGTGTGTGTGTGTGTGTGTGTCCTCTGGTCAAATTAAAAATAAATTTTAATAATATTCTTTTAAAAAAAAAGATTCTCAACGTTATTTTAATCAGGAAAATACAAACAAAAACAACAATGAGGTACCACTTACACCCAGGAGAATAGCTAGAATCAGAAAGACAGTAAAAAGATGAAGTTGTAGAAAGATTAGAACCCCCATAACTTGCTGGTAGGAATATAAAATGAGGTCACTTTGGAAAAAGTCTAATGGTGCCTCAAATGATTAAACATGGAATTTCCACATGACCCAGAATTTCTACTTCCAGATACATACCCAAGAGAAATGACATGTTCTGTGTAAAAGTTTGTGCATAAACATCCATAACAGTATTTTTCATAATCATATTTATTAATTTTGGTATGATTGGTTTTGTTTTCTGATTTTTTTTTTTTTTAATTTTACGAGAGAGAGTGAAAGTGAGAAAGTAAGCCTCCAGGTCCAGGACTGGAAGCATGATTGGCTATGTAGGAGTCAATGCCTTACTGGCGACACTACTTATATATTTGCTTATCACTTCATTGACTTGCTGAGGCTGCCTTGCTTCCTTTATAAATACCTTGAGAGATCAGCCTGTAGCTTCTAGGATTCTGGAATCGATTTCTCTCTGTTGGCACTATACCAAAGCCCTGCTCTGGCCTAACTACTCTGAGTAGTTCAGTCTTAAGTCCTTGGGAGAGGGGGAAGTTCCAGAATTTATAATGGGAAGAGTCATGTTTCTTTTCTTTGGGTAGCCTGACTCAACCGTACTGTCAAACATGCCTATCTGCAAATTCTTTGCTGCCACAAATTTCTCTCTGACCTTGAATACACTTCAACTCTTTTTTTTTTTTTTTTTTTTTTTTTAAATTTGACGAGAGAGTGAAAGTGAGAAAGCAAGCCTCCAGGTCCAGGACTGGAAGCATGGTTGGCTTTCAGGTGTGCTCGGCCCTGAAGATACAGTCATGCATACTATTAAAAAAAAAAAAAAATGTGTGTAGAGGGGGTGCAGCAGGTGGCATAGTGATTAAGGTGTACTCCCATGTGACCTACCATGGTTTGAGTTCTGGCCAGCTGCTTGAAACTAAGGTAGGGTGCGTGTGCATGCATGCCCAAAATCCCAAGAGGGGAAGGGATTGCGGCATGGCCATTCCCTCTGCGGGTGATTTTTCACTTCCTGTCTCTCTATCCCTCTGGCAAGTACAAGCACCCTATAGTAAAAATCTCTCAAAAAAAATTTTTAAAGGATTATTTTATTCATTCATTTATTTTAATTTGACCAGAGAAAGACACACAGAGAAGGAAAGTGAGAAAGCAAGCCACCAAGTCCGGGACTCATGGTCGGCCATGTGGGAATGTCCAGCACCTTAACTATACACCACCTACTGGCCCTCAAATTTTTTTTTTTAATTGCCACAGGGCATACGCCAGAAAGCAAATCCAGTGGAGAGCAGTCATACAGCAATCCTTTTCCTCTCTTCCTACTTCCCATGATGATTTTGGGCAAGCATGCTCACACACCCAGGGTGTTTTTCAAGCCACCTGACAAGTTTGCCATATGAAATCTGGCTTTCCATTCACAGTCCTTTGCTGTGCTACAGGGTCAGCCCTAAGATTTTTTTAATATCTATAAAGAGGCTGCCTCCATTAACACGTTATAGGCACTCAATTAATGGTAGCAAAA